TGAAGTTTGATGGGTTTTCGTTTACAGGTTACTTGCTTCTTTCATCCTACAGCTTGTAGGAGGGCCTCTTTCATGGTTATTTTAGCCAGTTTGATCACTATGTGTTGTGGTGTCTTCCTGCTTGCAATCAATCTCCCAGGAGTCCTTTGTACTTCTTGTACCTGGATATCTAGATTTCTAACAAAGTCAGGGAAATTTTCCTCTATTATATCCTCAAACAGTTTATCCAAGCCTTGTGTATTTTCTTCTTCACTCTCATGGATGCTTGTGATTATCACATTAGGCCTCTTAACATAATCCCACATATCCTGTTGGCTTTGCTCTTTTCTGTTATTTTTCTGCTCTGTCTCTGTGACTGACTTGTTTGATTAAAGTGTTATCTTTTATCCCTTAGATTCTTTATTCTGTTTGATCTACCCTATTCTTGATGCTTTCCACTGTGTTTTGTAATTCCTTGAACAAATTCTTCATTTCCAGAAGTTCTGTTTGATTTTTCTTTAATATTTTAATTTTTTTTAGTGAATTTTTCTTCCAAGTCCTGGATTATTTTGTGGTTTGCTTATATTGAGTATCCATTTTCTTTTGCATATCATTGAGTTTTCTTACAATCCATGTTTGAATTTCGGTTTTTTGTCATTTTAGTGTTCTGAATTTGGTTGATTTCCATTGCTAGAGAGCTGGTGTTCTTCTTTGGGTATGTGCTTTCTCTTTGATGCTTTGTACTTCCAGAGTTCTTTTGCTGATTGCTTCCCATCTGTATCAGCTGTTGCTTCTTACCTTTAGATGTTCCTTTGGATAACTTTATATCCCCCCTGTTCTTACAAAGCTAGATATAAAATCAACTATGCTTTGTACAAAGAATGTGATTAAGTTGAATGATGTATGTGTTACTATTAGTATTACCTGGGCTGTTCTCTAGAGCACTGCCTCCCTCTCCCCAGTCTTGGATTTCCCCAAACATGGGAGAATTCAGGTGTTCTCTAAACCAAGATTGTGAGGCACCCCAACCCTCATCCAAGATACCTTGGGTGAAGATGGATGGGAGCCCTGGCCACACCAGGTCTTCACATTCCACTGGGAAAGCAGGCTTTGATCAAATTGTTACATGCATAAAGGTAAATCACAACCATCATTCCATGCTACAGCAGTGCACTACTTTAGGAGACACTGAAGGAAGAGCCTTTTAGCAGAAATTTCAACATGAGTAGGAGTTTACCTGGTTAAGAGTGCAGGAACAGGCCTTTGCAGGAGAGTGAACAGTATGTTGAAGGCCTTCAGTGCTCAGAATAATGAAGGTCTGGGAGCTGTGCAGGCTGCACAATGAAGAGCTGTTCAGGGGTTTTGATTGTCATTCTGAGTGTCATGGGAAGCCTGTCACCTGTTTTAAATAGGACATGGCACATAATTTTAAAGATAGAGTAATGCAATGGAATTTAGATAGTATTTCCCACTCTCCATGCTAAAGTGCTGTGCTTCTTTTCTGCATGAAGTTTTATCCTTTAATGCACTTATTTGATTTTTTAGCTACTGCTTTCAACCTTCTCAACTTTGTGGTAAAGAAATAGGATCTTTTTGCAGTTATTTTAAATATTTTAAATTATGGCACATAATTTGATCATTAACTGGCAAACCTTAAGTTTCCCCATTTAGGTCCTAAACTAAATCTAAATAACTTTAATAGAGCTGGGCTGCTCTCACATTTTATCCAATTAATGCAGGTACTGTAATTTTAAGTTGTAATTTTATGTTCTGAGTTTTATCTTAAAATTTGCTAATTTATGAAGTCATTTTATTAAATAAATTTAAAAATTGTCCCTGACCTATAAATATCTGATTTAAAAGCCGAAAAACCAAATCAAACCAAAACCAAAACAAAACCATATTTGGATTCGAGCCACTCAAATTTTAGGAGAAATTTTACATATAAAAGAAAAATGTTGACAAAATAGGGGTTACATGTATCTTGCCATTAAATGATAGTTTCTGCTAATCATCAGGGGATATATTCCATGACCCCCAGTGGTTGCTTAAAACCATGGATAGTACTGACCCGACTGTATATATGGTATGTTTTTTCCTGTGCATACCTACCCACCTAGGATAACGTTTAATTGATAAATTAGGTATAGTAAAAGATTGACCACAATAACTAGTAATAAAATAGAATACTTACTGCAATATATTGTAATAAAAGTTACATGGATGTGGTTTTTTTCTCTGTCTCTGAAAATGCCTTGCCATACTGTGCCTTGGATTCCTGAAACCAGAGAAAGAGAAGCCACAGAAGAGAACCACTGCAAAAATCCGAGTGCTGAGGGAAGAATAGGATTATTAAGTCGATCTTCAGAAAGTCTCTATCTTAACAGCATTTTCTCTAGATGGACCCCGACTCGGTAACTTGCATTAAAAGTCTGAGCATTCAGAAAATCTTTGGACTCAGTGATGGAATGAGAGAAAAATGTGACATGCAAAAATAGCTGAAGGGAATTTCTCTGACGACAGCTGCACCAACAAGACGTGTATATGCCCTGTTGTGCCTTCCCCAAAATATATGAGCCACAGTAGCTATGGATGATTTGTTGGATCTTTTTCTACTACCTAAAACAGGGGTCCTCAAACTTTTTAAACAAGGGGCCAGTTCACTGTCCCTCAGACCGCTGGAGGGCCGGACTATAGTTTAAAAAAAAAAATGAACAAATTCTTATGTACACTGCACATATCTTATTTTGAAGTAAAAAAACAAACGGGCAAAAATACCCGCATGTGGCCCATGGGCTCTAGTTTGAGGACGCCTGACCTAAAATCTCATCAGTGAATGATTTATTTGAGTTAACCAGCTTTTTTCTTTCTTTCCTTTTTTCTTTTTTATTTTTTTGATACAGAGTCTCGCTTGGTTGCCCAGGCTAGAGTGTGTGCCATGGCGTCAGCCTAGCTCACAGCAACCTCAGACTCCTGGGCTCAAGCGATCCTCCTGCCTCAGCCTCCCGAGTAGCTGGGACTACAGGCATGTGCCACCATGCCTGGCTAATTTTTTCTCTATATATTAGTTGGCCAATTAATTTCTTTCTATTTATAGTAGAGACAGGGTATCGCTCTTGCTCAGGCTGGTTTCGAACTCCTGACCTTAAGCAATCCGCCCGCCTCGGCCTCCCAGAGTGCTAGGATTACAGGCGTGAGCCACCGCTCCCGGCCTTTAACCAGCTTTTCCTTCTGGGAAATGTAGATGCATTCTTAACATCCTTTCTAATTTCTAATTATCTCTGGAAACTCTAAGTTAGGCCTGGAAAAGCCTAAGACTTTTATTCATTCACTGCTTCAATTCAGCAATCCTTTCAAAGATAGAGAAGACCTTCCATGCACTGGGGTTACATCAATGCACAAAAAACTACCAAAACAATTCAAATACCCTTGAGGAACTTACATGTTAGTTAGGATGGGAAGGAGAAAGAAACAATTTATATGTGTAAGAAATAGAAAAATAGCAGGCTAGAAGCTGATAAGTATAATGGGGAAAGAATAGAACAGAGTATGAGGGATTGGGAACTTGGAATCTTAACTAATAAATATTAAAGGTCTTAGAATGGATTAATTATAATATTATTTATAATTTTAATGCCATCTCATTTTACTTGTTAAATCCTAATTGTTAGCCTGCTCTAGCATAATAGTTACCCTTTATTCAGTGTTTACCATGTGCTAACTAGGCACTTACTTTCCACCACACTTTGATCAGATCAGAGACAGGGCCATTTTAAACAGGGTCAGCGCTTGTTAGGGACATACAGACCAACAGTCAGAACCAGAATTAGGAGTTGTTATAGCTTATGCCTGTGTCTTGAAGGTGAAGTGGATGAATATTGGGTTGGTGCAAAATAGTGAGAAAAAGGTAGTTGAGTAGTGGGTTTGAACTTCAATCTGAGTAGGATGTTTTCATTATCTTATCCTTTCTTCTTAATATTCTAGAAGTAGAAAGTACTCAATTTGCAATGAAAGCATTTAATACCATTGTTTTTCTCGAGAACTTTTGACTGTCTTATTTAAATATATTGGAAACTCAGTGTTAAAAATGTATATTCATGGACAAAAACATGTCTGTTCTAAAACAATTTTTTTGTTCTTTAAAAATTAAGAAGCTTAGAGGTTTACATATTCTGAAGATAGAGTAATGCAATGGAATTTAGATTGTCTTTCCCACTCTCCATGCTAAAGTGCTGTGCTTCTTTTCTGCATGAAGTTTTATCCTTTAATGCACTTATTTGATTTTTCAGCTACTGCTTTCAACCTTCTCAATTTTGTGGTAAAGAAATAGGAGCTTTATGCAGTTATTTTAAGGATTTTTAAAATTTTCTTTTACATAAGTTTAGTTTACTTATTTATCTTTCTTTTTCATAGCTCATTTGGTCAAATAATGAAGCACTACTACAATATTCTAGTATATTTTATTCTGTAAATTGTTTAGTATGTAGTTTCACACACAGAGGACTCTAATACTAATTAAGGAAATGCAGATGAATCACTTCATCATTCATATGCATGTTCTGATTTTGTTTATCCAGTTGTGCAGGTGAAGGTACCTCTGATCCCTTAGCATCCAGAGGGCTCCCTGTACACTAAAGCACTTGGTCACCAGCAGAGAATAACTTAGCAAGATAACAGAAATACATAATTATCTGGTGTTTGGAATCCTAAAATAAGAATTCCTGCAATGGACAGAATGCTACACGTGGAAAAGAATGCCTATTTAAAAACATACTCAGTCTTTTTGTGATTAATGAAAACTCTCAAGGATAATTGTTAATTATTGGATATCTCAACAAAATTCTAAGCAGGTAGATAAGTTTCATAAGAGCACTATCTACTTAGTGAAGAAATTCCACAAGTTTATTTAAATTCTGCCTGGTGTCTACTTAGCATTCTATTCATAGCCTGTACAATTTCTTAGCTAAAAGCTGCACTTTTTTAGATTAAAAAATGTATAATATATGTTTTTTTCTTTTCAGGGAGGAGCAGAACATAACATTCCAGTTGTTGTTTCAAAAATCTCCAAGGAGCAAAGAGGTAACATGTTCAGAGAATTGTATAGTGACCATTCCTTCATAAGTCACTGTTTTTGAAGAGTGAGATGATATTTTAGAATCATAAGTTAGTATATGAGTGACGAGCTCCACATTCCCTGTGGTCAGCAGTAATACCTGAGTCCGACTCCTGAGTCCTCCCTCTTTATCACTGCAGGAGGGCTTCTCTTACAGAAGGGGAGCAAGGATGAAAGATAATTAATGGAGAGGCCAGTATGAGTTAGGGACTGCATAGCTTTTCAGTTGTTTCATTAAACAAACAAACTAAACTAATAATGAAAAGTCACATCTGGTAAAAACAATTTCAGATATTTGTTTTATGGTTTTCCTATGCAACTTACATCAGTTAGCCTTTCATATGAAACTTTATCTAGGAAAAACAATGAAGATGTAAAGCCACTGTTGCATTGACTGAAATTATTAAAACAATGTCGTGTTTAAAAATGAACTTGGAGCCAATTTCATAGCTGATGGATTGAATGTCAAGTGTCTCCAACTTTGTAAAAAGACTCCAGAACTTTAAGTGTATGAGAAAATCTGGTCATCTACCTTTAGAAGATTGACCAGTTGTTAGCATCCAGAGGTCTGAAATAGTAGAACTAAATGGAAATATCTTTGCATGTTTCAATAATTAAAGTGGACTGAATCATATTATTATTTTGAATTTCTATTGCTTATGGATCCTTTAAGATGCTTACCATATAAAACATTTAAGTGTTTGTTTCATTTACCATTTTTAGCTTTATTTAATTAAAATATTTTTCATCTGTATGACAAAAATAGTTGACACCTTCTTATCAATTGTCCTTTTTCATTCATAGCGGAACTTTCAGGACTACTCTTTATTGGGGATGCAATTCTACAGGTACATGCTTATTATTATATGTACAACCAAAACATTAAGTTAATTTACCATATACCACGTGCAACTAGCTCTTGTTTTCATTGCAGATAAATGGAATTAATGTGAGAAAATGTAGACATGAAGAAGTGGTGAGTTAACTTTTTCCTGATGTCATAATTTTCCCTGTATGCAAACAAGGATTTAGTGCATTGCTAAAACGTGTCATTTCATTCATTAGGAAGACTTGACATTGGTCCAGTGGGCTGTCGCATTTTCAAATTATCTTTTAATTGATTATTTTCCTATTAGAAACTGATCTGTGAGTAATATCCAGGATGAAACATATTTCAAGGAAATACTTAGGGATGGTTGTTTGATATGTTTTTATACTTTTTATATTAATCTCTATCTGCCAATGTCCACTAAATATATATCTAGGTGAAATATATTTCTAAACCTTTGCAACTGTTTAAAAGGTTATACACAATGCGTGTATTCCTGCAGAATCTCACACAGTACCTTCAGGCCTCTGTGTACACAGGCTCCCCATCAGCACATTCAGCCAACTACTGATAGAAAATATTTGGAAAAAAATATCAATACAAAAATATAAAATAACATAAATAGAAAATACAGTATAACAACTATTTACATAGCATTTACATGGTATTAGGTAGGATCTAAAGATGACAAAGTATATGGGAGGATGGGTGTAGGTATACTAGTATCCAAATACTACATCATGTTATGTAAGGGACTTGAGCATCTGTGGATTTTTGTATCCTGGGTGAGAGGGCTGGAACAAATCTTCCAGGATACCTAGGGACATGTGGAAGAGCATATAAAGATTGTGTGTGTGAAAGTGGGGTGGAGAAAGTGAGAGGGAGAGAGATGGAGAGAGGGCGAGAGGAGCTTAATCTCAAGGCAGACAGATTTAGCATTAGGCAGAGTAGTCATCAAATTTTACTGTGCTATTTTCTTTAATGTTTGTGAATTTGCAGATTCTGAGACCCTGGAATTAGATCTTCTAATTTAGCAAGTTTGAGTGGGCCTAGTAATCTGGATTTTAACAACCAACCTAAGTGGTTCCATTGTAGGTGGCCTCTAAACCAAATTTTCAGAGAAGCTGAAAGGTTAGGGAGCTTCTGTAAGAAATGGTAAAATGGCATAAAAAATGATATAGAAAAGATCGGCGCTGTGTTGAGAATTCTGGGAAATGTCTGTCATGGTTGATTAAATATCATCTAAAACCTTCATTGAATTTCTGTATCAGCTCCTATGGGAAGGAGTAGAGACGAAATTGTGTTTAAAAGTTTATACTCAAGAGTCATCCAAAATGAAAAACACTGTAAGCCTTTTGCTTCTCACAGCTCTAGTTTATTTGGTTTTTGAATACATTGCTCCTCTGTTAAAAAAAGCTATTTGGAGAACACTAGGTATATCTCAAACCTCAGAGAGGCAACCTCAAGTGTCTGTGAACAGCCAGGGCTGCACAAGTGGTGGTACTAAAGAGGGCTTTCAGTTGGGAACACTTGGCATCACTAATCAGGGTTTGTTAGTATTCATCACTTGCCTTTGTCTTCTCAAAATCTTATCTGAGCCATCGTGATAAACATCATGAAACTTATATATATATATATATCTCTATGTATATGTATATGTATATATATATATAAGTCTCAAGTTTCCTACATTTATGTGCAGAGAAAAGTAGTATTTTAGAACAGATTTTTAAACAAGAGCGAGGACAGCACAGCACAGAGCCCTCTGTTCTGCAGATCCTCATGTGAATTTCAAATATAGCAACATAAGCAAAGATATGTGTGACTTGAGTCTTTTTTCAAAAGTACAAAGTCATTTTAAACTCATTATTCAGGGAGTAAAAACAAGTGCATTCTCTTTTAAAACCACATGCTGTTAGATGGAATGCAATTTGCCCTTCAGAGGCAGGCAGCATGCTTAGACAAAGTGAGATGGAACTTTGATTAAACAGATTAGTGCAGCGTGAAAGATTAGAATGTGCTAATAATTCCACTTCTGAATGGTGCTCATTCTGTTATAAAGGAAAGAAATTCAGGATTGTATTGCAAATTATATGTAGTCCTTCACAGTAAACTTTTATTTTTTTCTGAGAAGCTTAGCCCTACCAGCTTTGAAATATAGGTACTAATAATATTATTTAGTTCCAATCTTAGACTTTCCAACAGCTATTAATTCTTTTGTCCTCAATGCTTATTACCTGAATGAATAGACTGACTTACGCCTCAGTGGGACAGAGATATTAATTAAACGTTTAAGAATGAACTTACATGAGCAGAAAAAAAGCACAATAAGCTTGGAGGATGTGGGTTGTTTTGAAATAGCACACTAATATTCCACATTACTTATTCTAATTAGCATGCTGATATACCACATTCCTTGCAGAGTTCCAAATTCAGAAACAAATTGGGCAATTATGGCAACATGTTGTTTGTACATGTAACTTTTCTTTTATTCTCCTGCTCTATTCACTGGTACTGTTAGAAATCCTGCCTTCAGTTGCCAATCAGCTTCACTCTTAAGAAGGCTTCCATGGTGTAGCTGTTACTTCTGTGTTGGAGTTATAAGGTTGATCTAGTAGAAGGAGAATTCCATGTTGTTGACTGAGGACACTCTGTAGATTTTTGGATGTAATTCTTTAGCCAAATGCCTAGAATTAGATCACTGAAGCATTTGCATCTACTATGTATGTTTCTCATGGCACAAGTCTGGGTGTGCTGCCAGTCAATTCTAGGACTAACCCATGTCCCTCAAGGCTTTTTTCTCACTGGAAGATCACTAAGGAAGAGAAGCTCACAAAATTACCTCATTAAGGAAAACTAGACCCAGCGCAGAGCCGCTTGGCATGCGGCGTGGTGTGTGTATTAGGCTTCAGTGCTCAGAAACAATTGTATGCAAATCCTAGCTCCACCACTTGCTAACATTGTAATTTCAGGAAAACGTACTAACCTTTTCTGTTGCTGTCTTACCCATTGGTAAAAGTGAACTACCAATACTTGTTATGGGCGTTGAATGAAAGTAACATGAGCTCCTACCACACATCTGGTAGTTAAGAACAGTCAGACGCCATTTGACGGTTTCTTCGCGTGGGGGTCTGGGAGACCCCACGGAGACAGTGGATAGTGCTGCTGCTCTGCATCCCAGGCTCCTTCACTAATCCCAGACAGGAACCCAGGGAGCGCCAATCACAAGAGTGGAGTTCCTCTTTAAGAAGTAGGGTTTCGTGTTCCTCCTAGCAGAGTGCTCCTTTATTTTCCATGTGAACGTGTTTTGAGGCTTGTGAGTTGTCAAAACACCAAAAGTCCCTAATGCACCAATATTTTTTTCAAAGAAAACTGGATCTATCACCACTGCTGATGCTAAACACTACTTTCCTTGCCACCGAACCCTAGACACGTTAAGCTGGTTGTTATCTCTGTATCTTGTCGTCTATATTTTTCTTTTACTTAACACGTCAACTGATCACATACCAAAAATTTTCTGAGTGCCATTTATGTGAAATGCAGTGACACTGAGTCCTTTGTGTGATAAGAAAGAGTACACAAATAACTTTATATGGCTGTAACCTTATTAGTATGTGGGCATAGTTTCTTTAGAATTTTATAATTGAATATACAAAATAATTGGAGAAAATTACCAGGTGAGGCAATATGAAAACAATGTTGATTGACAGCACTCTTCAAAAAGCAACAATGTGATCTATCTATATTCACTAGAAATAATGGGAAAAAAATTTAATTACAGCATAAAAATGTTTGAATTAAAAAAGCATACTGGTTGTAATCTATTAATATAACTGAATTTTTCATTTAATGCTTTTAAAGTAGACTAGATTATCAGTAGGCAAAGCAGGATGGATGTGTAGATGATTCTATAGATTTCCTTCTAAAGTAACCTCTGCTTTCAGGTTTGGGATTTATGGGTCCCCCAAAAGTGGTTCATCTGTTTTTTATTTCTGTGGTTCTCATGCATATAAAATATTAGGTAATTTGAAATGTAAATAATTAACACCATAATTCTGAATCTGTAATATTGAACCAATATCTAAATTAAAATCTTCATAATTATTACAAGAGCAGAATGAATAGGTAAAATTATGTCAGTTAAGATGACATATTTATACAAAGAAAACAAATGCTGAGAAAACTGATGTAAAATATTGAATAATAGCATGTTGATTGTAATGATAAACTCTTAATTTAAAATTTCCATTGAAATGAAAAGATTAATCAGAAAAAAACATTACAAGGGTTATACAAAATCATCTGAAAATAAGGTATTGATTTATATTTGTGAACAGTTTAGGAGGTCTTATATGTCACCCAGAAACATATTTAGAATGTGATTTGGGCACATAGATCATTTCAAATTAAAATGTCATGAGGTACAAATCCGGTTTTACCTAACTGCTACTTACATTGTTCACAATTTGGAAATCGATTTAGAGCTCTAATTGATTAATACTTTCTTAAGAATTATAACCATATTGGACTCCTTTTCTTTAAATTTACTCCCACCAAGGATAGCCATATATAAAGTAATTTAACTTTTACTATTTCACAGTGGCTTGGGAAATATTGAGTTCAAACACAAAAAGGCCAGAAATACTGTCTATACTATGCTTGGTTTTGAAAAAAAGTAAAATATCCAGAACTTGTTTTATTTATATACTTATCTTTGCATTAATACTCTTAAGAGTTCCTTTTCTGTTGGACTCACATGTCTGTTCCCTAATTAGCGTGTGAGTCTGGACAGCACAGGTGACACTTCAGTGCTTTTTTTCTCCTGACGTTGGTTCTCCTCAAATCCTCAATCATTGTCTTCTTTTCAGTGAAGTTGGACAACTTGGAGAACTCAGAGACCTAATTTTGCAGCACCCTGTTTAGTCAATTCCATTTGCTAGAACAAAATGCCTTAGACTAGATAACTTATAGCTACCAGAAATTTATTTCTCACAGTTCTGGAGGCTGTGAAGTCCAAGATCAAGGTGCCAGCAGATTTGGTGTCTAGGGAGAGCCTAGCCTCGGCTATAAGAGGGTCCCTTGCTGCTGCATGCTCTGGAGGAGACAAAGCTGTGTCCTCCAATGGCACAAAGAACAGAAAGGCCAAG